AACTTTTATGCAAGTGCCTTTCATGTGTTCAATGTTAAAGATGAACAAGTCACCTTTTGGAGTCCCCCTCCCCGTCCCCTCGTTGAAGGACGACGGCGCACTATGAGAGACTGAATGGCGTGTTGCTGTGTTGCCACGAGTTCAAGGAGATTTGATCACTTTTTGTTTGTGGAGCAGCTTCAATTCACCTTTCACATAAAGAGCCAGAGACTAGGAGAGGACTGAGAGAGAGCAGTCTTTGTAGGATTGAAGGAAAGGGGTGGATAAAAAAAAAAAAAGCGTCGGTGCATCAGTTTTCTCTGATCCCGACTGGAACTATAAATGTATCTGAGAGATGAGCTATCTGTGGTGGGCTGTGCCACAAGCAGGCCTTTTCTTCCCTCTGTCTCTGTGATGAGTTAGCAGGACCGGGAGTGATAAAGCTGATAGAAGAGCTGCTATCAGGTGGCAGTCTTGGTAATTACAACTCTCTATTTGGGGGCTTTGCAGTGATGCTGTGGCGATAAGGGGAATATAATGAGGAAGAAAAGCCAGCGATAATGTATCCGCTAAATGGTTCAAAACAGTCTATCATGGGAAAAGTCATCTCAGAGCCTGGAGGTAAACAAGTATCTTTGGATACGAACCACAGGGCTCTGCCAAAGAGAACATGTGGAAGGTTTAAGCTAAACATATGCCCTGCGGGGGATGGCAGCAATCACAGTTCAAAAATCTGACTTTTCACAAAGGGTAGTATAGGCCGTTTTTTTTTAATGATCTGGGAAGCCATTTGATTGCCGCTGCTATTTTGTTTGCCCCTCAGGGTGTGCAGATATTCTGCAGAGTGTGAGATTATGTATAATACTTTGACAAGCGGCGGTTTAAAGATGAAGGTCTTATCAGCCTGGCGGACTCCACATGCTTCTGTGTAGCCATTCTCCTTCCATAATGTGCTTTCAAAGTTTGTTGTATCTGTCAGTTCAGGTCCTCGAAGATTGAACTGACAATCACTTCTTTTCCTTCCCTCTTTTACCATCCTTCGAGCATTCAGACACACGCTCGCACATGCACACACACGGATACAGTCCTGAGGGCCATTTGGCCATTCAAGCCATCAGTTTTTGATACACACCACAGTTTGTACTATCCTGTATGACAGTTTTATTGTGCATTTCATATCCCCTCAACAGGGATCATGACCACTATCAATAGTATTTTCACTAATGTGATTAACTTAATACTGTGCTCTATGAGAGGATTATTTCTCAATTCCTCTTGATATGCGTAATATTTAGGTTGTGGTTGAGTAAATATTTTGGTTCTTCACCAAAATAATTCCCACTGAGACAAAGACACAGAATTCTGCCCTAAGGAGCAATAAAGACTGTATAATTAGAATGATTAAAGAACTGCACAACTAATTTGGCACTTATTGAATATATTTTCAGAACACAACCTTCAAAATAGGTCACATATCTAAACCACAAAAAATATATTAACTTTATTCACATTAATTATGCATTTATTCAGACATTCGGTGTGACTCATTTGAAGTGATGCTGAAGTCGCTATTGTCTCCTTACCAATCCAATCATTATGTCGCCTTGCACTTAAGCAAATTTTCTACGTATTGTGGGAGCTGTAAAGACACCTCATTAGACAAAATGACTTGTAATCTGAATGCAATCATCTTTAAATAGTAATCAATTGGATCACTTACAGCCCTAAACTGGTTGTCATTAGCGCTCTTCAGATAAGATTCTACAGTTAATGCTTTGGGATGGTGACAGATTGGCTTTCAACACACGCTGCATCGTACAGGCGTTTAAGCTTTACTGAGGAATAAAATGACCATTTTTAGATTTTTTTTTGCTCATTCAAAAATTGTATAAATCTTCTGCACTTCCAATTTATCTAAGCCAGTGTTTGATGAAAATACTAAACGTGATTATGTGATTAAATTGAATGTATGCTTTCGTCAAACATTGAACAATATTTCTGGCTCTTTAAAATTCAAGTCTATCAAATAGATTTGAGTCAGTGTTTTTTTTATGACATTTTGTTTCAGGATTTGGGCTTTTTTATTCAATAGAAAGCCCATAATCTAAAAATCAGCTGTAAAAACAAGAGCAGGCCTCAATGAGGATCACTAAAGAGCGGCTGAGATGACCATCTTTTCCTCTGCAGAGGTGCGTCTGCCGTCTCCCCCCTGACTCGGCCTGCACGAGGAGCAGCCACGGCTGGAGAGGAAGGGGAAGATCTCAGCAGTGCTGTGATCAGACAAGCAGAAAGAAACCACATCAGGTACACAATCAGGACCCCTCCTTCTCCCTTTCTACAAAACCTCCCTGATAATGAGCAAACTTTCATGTGGCAGTAAAGACTCTCCGCTCTGTGGGGTTTGAAGTGGCAAACACAAGATATTGTTGTTTACCCTCTCCTTTTACCCTCTCAAAGAAAAGCCATCTGATTGCGAGAGGTCAACTTCTGTTCCCTTGAAATCAATTTAACTCAAGACTTGACTCCCCTCTCTCCTCCCCCTCCGATGGGAGAATACCAGTTTGAAAAGCATGACGGGGTAAAGTACACATCCTACAATATTCTGTATAGATGAAGTCTTTTTTTTTAATGCAAACTGGGATTATCCAGCGACCCTCATCAACTCTATGATTTACTGCTTTCTCTCAGACTTAGTGGAGTGTTGAGGAGAATAAAGTGTTTGGCGCTATCATGGAGATTCTTGCACCTCCAGGGGCTCCCATTTCAGAGTGATGGCTTTAGCACTTTAGAGTGAACTGTGTGCGATCTCTCTGGGTAGTAAAATGTCCCCATGGGCTTGTTGTTGCTGCTGTCTAGCTTCTATTTGCATGATATTTTTCTATTCAGTCTTATCATCAGTGTGCTGTGAGGTGGGAGTGCTGGCTCCGACTCAGAGGTTGGACCCAGGCTTTATCGGCAGGTAATTCTCCCACTCTCACTAACTCATGTTGAATTATTTAAGTGTTATTTCTAGGACCCAGACGTGAGTGAAAGAGGGGGGGAGCTAACACAAACTGTGGTGTATGTTAGTGTTTTTTTTTTTTTTAACTCATTTTTATCTTATCTTAATTAAATTATAAAATGGACTAAATTCGTGTTTTCTCAGCTTGGTGTTTTGTGGAATAGATAAAACTATTCCGAACATACTGATGAGCAAAAAAGCATGGATGGCTGCACCTGCTCGCCTTAATACAAGCTGATCCAGGCCCTCATATAATCAGATATGCTCTGTTAAAGCACAGGCCATTTTGGGGGGTTTAAGACAATGGGGAAAAGAAATGTCTTTAGGGCAATTTAAATGAACAAATAAACAACATAAAATAACAAACAATGACAAAACTACAGTGAGAAATAAAATTAAAAACGTTCAAATCAGGAGAGGGGGAAATATTCAGGGGCCCAGTGAAAGCATGCATGCGTGAATGCACTTAGCTGCGCACCTCCACGACTCCCGATAACAACTTTCACCTATTCATACCACTAAAAATACCATTTCTGTTCGCACCGTTGTGTTGCGGGCGGTGCGTGCTCCCGTGGAGAGAGCGGAGCGCTCCACTGAAGGAATGTTATCGGGGTGAATGACAAGCCGACAAAGGGGGCGCGCGGCGTTGAGAGATGCTGCGAGTCAGTTTTGGGCAGAAGGTTTGTCTTTCACCGGCTCCTTTGGGCACGGATCCTCCTCACCTTGTCAGGTTTCCGTCTTGAGACAAAGCAGCGATCCCTCAGTGAGCCTTGTTCTGCGCTACAATAAAATCACCCTGATCCTTGTTGGCACAATTTTTTTTGCAACAATGTCACTCTACATGCGAGCAGGGAGCTGTTGTGCACCACATTTGAATAATCCATCAGCTTTTTCCTCTGTCAATAATAATAATAATAATAATAACAACAATAAAATGATAACAATAATAATAAACCCATACTATATATTATTTAAATTGTAGATTAAGCTAAGGCATTAAAATGGACAACAGTAAAGTGAATTGAATTAAACTTTCATTTATATCCTAATTTAAAAGCCTGACCTGCAGCCAAATTCATCATTTATAATATTTCTCAATACCGCTTCTATTTCCTATTTTCCCCAAATATATAATTATGTACAGCGGGAGAAAGTGCCAGAACAAGCCACTTAAACCTACAATTTACTCAACAGGTCCAGCAGATAACTGTAATTGCTTAGTTGAATATTGGACAACCTAATTTCAGTTGTCGATTCGCTGCCCTTGGGAAGGTCCTTTGAAGTGAAAGTGAAAAGGGGGATTTTGGGAAAGTAATTAATTTCACCGAGCACGATTAGAAACACTTCAGACCTCCACAACATTTGCTTATTTACCGGCAATAATGGGACAATATCAGAAAATTAAAGAGCGTATTCTTTACCTTTCTTGTTGTCGCCTCGTGCGTATTACTTTTCGGGGGCAGTGCCACCCGTGGGGAAATGAGGGGTCAGGCCGGCAGACAGTAGTGAGGATAAAAGGTGAGAAAGTGAAGCGACACTGAAAGGTTGTCGAACAAATAAAAGGAACAGAGAAGAAGATGTGATTAGGTGGCAATTATGAGCTCAATGAAGCGACTTTGCGTGCGTCGATTTCGTCTTTGATTTCTCAGATTGAACTTTTTCGGTACCCACCTGTCTCTTAGCAGTTGCATTCTCCACATCTGAAAAGGAGGATCATTTAAGAGTCTCATTTGTGAAGCCATTCCCTGTGTTTTAGATGCGTTAATAACTTGACGCGTGTCCATTAGGATAAATGTGACTGAGTCATTTTTCCCCGCCCCCAAGAAAAAAAAATAGAAAACTTTTTTTTTAAATGCAAATTTTACAAATGGTCATTTTTTAAAACAATATAGGCCTACTTTACCTTTTAAACAGTGTGGAATTTCGAAACCGCTGTTCAACAGAAGTCTGTGCGCTGGTCGACAGTGCGCATGCGCCCTTGCGCCACTTTCACTACCTGCCACACAATCCGGTATTTCACATGGGGCGACGGAGGGTTGTCGTTCACTCGCGTATGCAGCGGCAGAGTGCAGGTTGACAGTCTCCAGCCACAGGAGGAAAAGCAGACAGAGTTTCTTTCTCTCTGACCTTCATCCTCTTTAAGAGCGTATCACTGATGGATGTTAGAATGACGCAGAAAACATTTGAGCGCTCATAAGGACGCTGCAACCTGTGTGTTTTAGAAGATAATCCACGGTGGGATGAAGAACTAAAGTGTCAAGTAAGTAGTCACACAGTAGTAGCTTTGTCTCCTGAATTGATTTCTCTTTACTTCGCTATATGTGCTATATTGTAATGGTATCTTTGAAATGTTTGAGGATTTTGCGTGTTAGTTATTGGTGACTTGGTATTTATATACTGGTATTTTCTTTCAGAGCGAGTGTGTGCCAACATGTCAAAACCAATGGATCACGTTAAACGTCCGATGAATGCTTTCATGGTTTGGTCCAGAGCCCAGCGCAGAAAAATGGCTCAGGAGAACCCGAAAATGCACAACTCCGAGATCAGCAAGCGACTGGGAGCGGAGTGGAAACTTCTCACCGAGTCTGAGAAAAGGCCATTCATAGACGAAGCCAAGCGACTGAGAGCGATGCACATGAAGGAACACCCAGACTATAAATACAGACCGAGGCGGAAACCCAAGACTCTGATGAAAAAAGATAAGTTTTCCTTCCCTGTGCCGTACAACCTCGGGGAGCACGACGCGCTGAAAGTTAGCGGACTTTCCACTGGAGCACTTTCCGAGTCTGTTCTGGGGAACCCCGATAAGGCAGCAGCCGCAGCTGCAGCCGCGGCCGCGAGAGTATTCTTCAACCCGTCCATGTCCGCTAATCCCTACTCGTTTTTCGACCTGGGATCCAAGATGACCGACCTTTCTCCACCTTCCTTTCCGTACGCGTCTCCTCTGGGCTACCCGCCGGGAGGCGCCACGGCGTTCAGCGGGACTGGCGGCGGGACGCACACCCACACTCACTCACACCCGTCCCCGGGAAACCCGGGCTACATGATCCCCTGTAACTGTACGGGCTGGCCCACGGCCGGACTCCAGCCGCCCCTGGCCTACATCCTGCTCCCCGGGATGGGGAAACCCCAACTTGAACCGTACCCCGCATACGCTGCGGCGTTATGATAGGCCCACTGTGGACACTGTGGAAGAAAATCAAATGTGAAATGAAAACATACAACAACAGCAAACAAAAAAAAAAAAAACTATTCATGCAAGAGTTTTATTATGCATGCATAAACTTGTACATGTGATGAAGTGCTCGTCGTCTCAGATATCACATGTGTATGTATATTGATTAATGCCTTTATCTAAGGTAATGCTTATTTAGAGAACTCTCTATCACCACTCAGCTGACGCAACCCCGGGAAACGGACTGAACGATGGCAAGACATGTGCACAGATTTCTGGGTATCAGAGCAGTTTGCCCATGTGTGAAACTCTTTTTTTGAAAGGCACCCTGCTCGATTTCTATCTTTTTGCACCTGCTTGTCCAACATGATGGAATCAACGGCCGACACAGTGACCCACAGGACCACAGCGTTTTGCCCTCACACGAGTCGCCCATAATTCACGGATCAAGGAGGATTATCACAACACTGTAAATGTGTACAGACAAATGACTTTAGTTTATTTGCCGTCACAGGCTTAGTGTTCGAGATAGGGCCAGGAACCTACGTATTTCTCTAGAAACCCGGTGTATATTTTGAGTTTTTAAACCGTTTTATAGATGTCTGTAATATTTATTGTTTAGTGGAATCTATGGTGACCAAGACAATTTTAAAAAGGACAAGATATTTGCACATGAAACGTAGAGGATGTAATTTATTTTTAAGGTGTTATTCAATTCAGGTTTGATTCACCAAACCGATTTTCCCCCTTTAAACAGTAAGAAAGTTGGAATTCAAATGGAGACGGAGGTTTAATCAGTGGGCTCCTAATTTCCTTAAAGCCCCACAACCAAACTCCTCGTATCATGTGCAGCCGAAAAAAAAGACATTTTTAACTAACTCTTATGGAATTTGTATGTTTTGTGTTTTTCTTTAACCACCGTTATGTACTTCACACTATTGCTATGTTCACTTGTTGAGCAAAAGGACTACAATAAAGCCTATTCGGATTAAACGGAAAGGGAATCGCGGCTGTAGTTCTTGATGAGATGAACAAGATTGCTATCTTCTCTTTTCCTGCTACTGCTCCTCAGTCCAGGTGAAGTGTAAGGTATCCTCTAAAGGCCGCTTTTGTCCGCACTTTGAATGGCATTACTGGAGGGGAAATCTAAATCAGCCCATTGTAATCAGGAGCCAAAACCTTATTTATCACAATTTTAATCGTGAATAGGGAGCAAGATTAAACAGTGCGCTACTATGAGCTTTCTTTTTCCCAGGGACACGGACCGAAAAGAGAGAGAGAGAGAGAAAAAAGGAAAAGGGAAAGTGCTGCTTTTAAAGCTGCGGAACAAGCTTGTCTTTGAGGCTCTTAAACAACCTGAGCTGAGTGTGTGCGCTCCCAAGCGTGAGGGGAGAAAAAAACCCGCTTGCTTTTCGCTTGAATTAAAATTTTGATCTTTAAGAAAACAGAGAAAACAACACAATCGTGAGTGCTTGTGTGATGGTGTACTTGTGTGTGGGGAGGGGATGCGTAAAGGTATGCGTTTTTTCCGTGAGAAATCTTTTAGTTCCCTTCAGATGTCTAACATGAGTACCAAACTGAAGCAAAGCGCTTCTCCTAGATTACACCGAGAGATTAATTCATAAGGATCAGAGCGATTATGCAAAACTAATTTGGACAGTCCAGGGATAATTATCTCCGTCACGGTTAATTAAACCTTTTCAGCGCTATGCCCTCCATTGTAACACCTCGATCACTTCTCTCCACGGAACTTCCTCCTTGTCCCCTAAAGTAACGCGCCACACTCATCTTCTGTTTGGTCCGGAAAAAAAACACCCAGGGAGAATAAAAAAAGGTGTCTTTTTGGCACCAGGATTTATTTTTTTCAGTTTTTTATTCTGAGCTTGACTTTTCGTAGCCAGAATTGATTTGCTCTGCTTTGTTTCTTCTCATTTTGTGATGGATGATAACATGCAGTTTTAGAAGTGAAAGGCATCTGATCAATACACAGACAACGTCCGCAGTGCGTAAAAGAACTTGCATTAGGAGTTCAGTGACCATGTCTTTCACTTTATTCGACCCTTTTATTTTATTTTTCTTGAGGAAAAAAGGGGGGAAGAAAGCTGAAAGAACTTTTTTCAACTCTGGGAGCGTTTAGACGGTCGAGGAGGTTTTGTGTGGGAACAAAACGTGGGTTGGGAGGTTTTGTGAGAGTGTTGTTTGTTGAAGTGGAGCTCAGCAAAAGCGGCTGCTTTCCCTCATTGTGATGAAAGCAATCAGTGGTATTTGGAAAACTGTTAGCATTGTGCACTTCTTCTGTGTCCATTGTGGAGGATTTCTTTTCACAAGGTTTTTTTTTTCAGTCGATCCAGCTGGCCGGAGTGAATAGCGGTGCAATGTGTACACGCTTTGTCCCTCCGAGCCCTTCAAGTAGCCCACATTGAATAGAGTGAGTTGACACTGCATGACAGTGAAACAACATAATAAAAAATACATGAGCGCATGAATGGAAGCAGGCGCATAAATAAATAAAATGGGTGGCCAAAACTGGATAAACTGAATGACAAAACGGTGAAAGGGGAACAAAAAGATATTTAACACGCTAGATTAGCATTAGAATGCAATCTACAAGCCAGAACAATTGATGAATAGGTTTACCGGCCAAGAAAGAAATGGACTAAATGCCTTTTGAATAGATAGCCTATGTTTTTTTCAATCTAAGATGGGAACTGAATGGGAAAGGTGGAGATGCAACTATGGAGAAAAAAGAGAGAGAGGAAAAACGTTTGACAAGAAAAACTTGTGTCTTACCTTATTAAAAAAAATTCCCAGGATAAGGCTACTATTGAAAATGTTCTTTGATTAATGAGTTGATCATTTTTTTGATTAGATCAAACAAAATGAACACTTTCAGAAGAGTTGTGTTCAGTTTGGCTTTCTTAGCCTCTGAAGTGTCTTCTAACAGAACCCTGATATTATCTCTTCTTTTTATTTTACATATGTCTATCTAAAATAGCTTACAATCCTAATTATAATATAATCTTCTATCTTGCTGAATGGAGAGTCGTGGTAAAGTGATAAGATTTAGGCTTTGGGTGAGCTAAGTGGGAGCACACTGAAGGAAACAGAAGGAAACTGTTTAGTTTAGAAAGAGCCTTTTATTCAATACTCATTCTATTTGTGGTCCACCAGCAGCATTAATATATTTGTTACATATCCTTTTTAAAGACACCAGGAGGGGTTTTAAAGCAATAAAAATAAATGTACTTGATTTATCTTTAAGGCTGTTGTTGAATAATTTCTTAATCTGCAGCCTGTAAAATGAGTTCAGACTTTATCATGTTCGTTAATCAGAACAAATGGGAAATCCAGGTTCTGAAAGTTTTAGTTTGAATTTCATTAATCAAAACAGCGGAAATTGAGGTGAAGAAAATAGAGTATACAATGTTTTAAATTCAAGTCCCTGAAATGAACCCTTGGTTCATCAAAAATGATTGAGGTTTTAGGTGTAGATTAGAAAGAAATGGTACATTTCTTTTAAGGTAATTTTCATAGTGAACGATAAACACACACATTGCCCCTCAGAATGGATTTAGAAGGCCTCACTAAACTCCACAACATAGTTTTAAGCATTGAAGTATAAAATATTATGTCCAACGCATACAATATAAGCTTTGTTATAAGCCATGACCACTAATTGTAAACCTTTCTAAAGAATTTCTCAAAGCCTGATTAATAAATCAGTTATATGGCCTTGAAAATTGACTCCATCATAGATATAATCACCATAAATAATTTTTCTTCTCCTTTTTTTATTTTAGGAATTTTAATGTTCTCAAAGTAAATGAAAAATGGTTTGACTTGCTGTTTGCTGTACATGTTGACAGACAATATAAAGGTTCCTACATTCGATTTAGAGCCACGGCTGCATCATGTTTTCGTAAGCCGCCTGCCTGATGGCCTGATATCATTATATCTGACTGTTAAGCCCTTTATGTGCCTGTAAGACATTTGTAGAAGTGAGATTAGGCAAATTAACATACATATGTATCACCAGTTCAACCATGTTGACCTTAGAGGGATGCACAATGGATCGCTCTGCTGTAGTTCGCCAAAGGCTGTCCCACAAGCATGTGGATTATCAGCTGGCTTCAATGGCCTGAGATGGATCATTTTAGTATTTTTTGGGGGGCATGAATAATACATCAATATCATCTGTTTGAGGATATTTTCTCAATTTGTTTGCGGGAGTCTGCTTCTTGCTCACCTGGTTGTCATAGTATGCGTGTGCCTTGTGCAGTGCTGGGAGATATATTCAGCCAGTGCTGGCCTCTCTGCAAGGAACCTCAAAGAGTCTGATCACTGAGTTCTCCATCTCATTTTAGGCAAATCAAAGTGTGAAAAGTCTCTCCTCAAGCAATATCTCCATCATCAGGCTGGGTCAAGAATGTTTATGGAAGTTGTGTGTCATATTACCTGTAATCTCCAGAGTATGACCTGCTGTATTTCTTACTTCTCTATGCACCCAGGAGGGAAAAAATACCAAAATTATCTTGCATTGCACCTTTTCCGCAACACCTCAACATTGCAAATCAAAGCCTCAAAACCGTACATGTCGCTGTGCCCAAGGTCACCGAATGAAATGAGAAATCTCTGTGTACTGTACAGTCCATCCCTATAAACATGCCACACAGCCTCTGAAGTCTGACTCTGCTTTAAAGAAGTTTGTTTAATAGTACATAATGCAATAAGTCGATGGACCCCTGTTGGAGTTCACAGCTGGAACGCCTGAATGAGATTGGGGGCAAGCGGATGGTTGCTGGGTGGGTATAGTTGAGGTGAGTTCGGCAGGTGAAACAACTCGACCGGCACGGTGTCTACTACAGTCTCTGGTAGTAATGTTTTAATATAACACCTCAATGTCAACTGTTTTTACGTATGCTGGCATGTTGCCATATATTCCATGGCTGTGTTTCATTTTAGAAATAAACAATCATTTTTTATACCTTTGCAGAACTCAAATAAATCCAGTTTTGATGCTTCCCTTTGTGGCACCAATGACATTACACTCCTCTGTAAATAACTCAGATCACCTCTGTTTGTGGTCCCAGAGACTCATGAACGTACAGGACCTGGTTTATCACCTTCACACACAACATTTGTATAGAAACCTGCTTCACATTGATTCTTTCATATCACAAACGAGCCCTTAACCAGAAATGTGGACATCTAAGAGATATCCATATTAAAAGGGCTATGAGTTTTTACCATTTCATTAAATTTACTTTAGTCTTAGTCAGACACAAAATTACCATTAACATAAGTGACAGAGGTTTGGTGAATTATCATGGCTGTACATTCACTTGATTTGCAGAAACCTGCTTTTTAGTTGACTGGCTGAACATGTAAAGTCAAATTATTCTTAATTTGACTAGAGAATGAGAAACATTTTCTCATTAAATCAATGTATTTCACAACTTTCCAAGCACATGAAAACATATGGAACCTCATCTTGTTTTGTGTCTGATCTCATTTAATACAATGTAGAGGTTTTATTTGTGACACACAGCTTATCTGCATCCTTATTGGTGTTCAGTAATGTCAGAGTGAAACAAAAAGAAAAGATTTTCCCAAAAGCAACTCTATTTGAATTTCAATTTCTCCAGACATAATGCAGATTTAGTCAGTTAACATTTCTCATAGATCATGGATTTTGAACTTGAATTAATTCAAAATAGCATACTAAGTAATATTTGACACTCACTTTAAATTTGATTTGTTTATTAAATTGTAATTATGCTACAGTACCTCTAAACATATTAGACAAAACTGCAACAGTGTGTGGTATATACAGAGAAAAACACATATGTCTGTTTCAGGATCTGTTTTTAACTCTAAATCACAGAAAGGACAAAGTGATGAACAGCGCTCTTTTAGCATGGTTGTCTGACTCTAAAGCTCCCACTGCTGTCTAAAACAACTCACTGCACTAATGACTTTATACCCATATTTCGTTTAATGAGAATGATTGTAATTCTAAAAGTCCTAAGCAGACATCACACGCTCTGGAAATGTTCAGGTCAAGAATGCTCTCCAAAAACAAACATACAAACTTGAGGGAAATAAAGAATTTTTCAGAGTTTGAGGCTACACAATCACATTTTTGGAAAAGAAACACCTTTTTTTCCAAATAGAAATAGATACCATAGCTGCTTAATAGTCACCGAAATCATTAAGTTAGTAATCCAAACCATGAGGC